CGTCTGTTGTTTTCTTGTTGTTTTGTTTTTTTTGATGTTTTTGAAATGTACTGTTATTGTCTATTATCTGGCTAGCTCGACACAAGTTTCGGTTTAACCTTTAAACCGAATTTACTTCCAGGGCTGTTGCCTCTTTCATTGTTTATATGTTAATTGCTATTAGTTATACAGTTATTCTGATATTATTATTATTGTTCAATTTAATTATTTTCTACTGTGTATATATATATCAAAGAAAGAAGAAAGAAATAAATGTTGCTGAAATGAAATGAAATGAAAGTTTTAATCAATTTCGACGAAATTAGAAATTTAAAAAAATTAAAATTTTTTCCCGCGCTTCGCGCGCATTTTTTAAGGTTAAAGCTTGTGCTTGCCCTCCTTTGTTATTTAAGCACATAATAGGCTTAACTCCAATAGAAAGAACATTTAAGATAGATCGTTTTACCTAAAAGTGGGGCCTTAATGTATATTGATGGTGAAGGAATATGTTTGTAATAAATAAAGAAGAAAGAAATAAATGTTGCTGAAATGAAATGAAATGAAAGTTTTAATCAATTTCGACGAAATTAGAAATTTAAAAAAATTAAAATTTTTTCCCGCGCTTCGCGCGCATTTTTTAAGGTTAAAGCTTGTGCTTGCCCTCCTTTGTTATTTAAGCACATAATAGGCTTAACTCCAATAGAAAGAACATTTAAGATAGATCGTTTTACCTAAAAGTGGGGCCTTAATGTGTATTGATGGTGAAGGAATATGTTTGTAATAAATAAAACCATGATGAAAATGCTTATATTTAGTTTCAAACACACGTGTGTGGCCTATATTATAAATAAGATAAGCCCTATGTCGTATTGTTTTTTTTCCAGTACCATAAAAGCTGTCTCTTATACACATCTAGATGTGTATAAGAGACAGCGACCCAAGACCCCTGTTACGCGCCTACAGATACTCTAACTGGCTCATAGTTGAACGGGCACTAAGGGAGTGCTTAAGACTTGTCAACACTCTCAGGCGTACTTTCACAACTTATGGAATCAGCGAAAAATTAATTTCAGATGGTGGACCTGAATATACTGCTTTCTTGACTACTAACCTTCTCAAAATATGGGGTGTTCATCACCGCCTCATGTCTGTACCCTTCCCCCATGGAAACTGTCGTGCCGGGACTGGCTGTCAAGAAAGCAAAGCGGCTTATTATGGACAACACAGGACGGAATGACAACCTTTACACAGATTCATTTCGACGGGCGGTACTCCATTACCGCAACACACCAGACCCGGAAACAACCATCAAACCTGGTGCCTACAATCCCCACCCAACATAGCAAGATACACTCGAGAACTTGCACTTCGGAATCGAAGTTAACTTGTAGCAAAAAGGAGTTGTTCTTATTTAAGAACAAATCTATCTAATCTAATCTAATCTAAAGATAAACAAAGGAGAAACCATGGCAACTACGCCTATGCTGCACCAGAAGTTATAATTAGCTAACCTCACAAAATAATTCAAACTATAACAGGGTTGCCAGATAGTCGACAGGCTTCACGGCCAAACACACGCCATCTCACGGCCAAAAGTTTTTTTCGATATCGGCCAAAATTCGGCCAGATTTTAATCCGATTAGAAGACAACAGTGAGTACATTCATTTGAAATACTACAAAAATTATACGAAAATCAGCGGTCATTCGTTTGAAATTCAAATGATATACACAGAACAATGTTAAAAATAAATAGCCTATGTTCTTTAGTTGCTGGCATACAGGTCAATTCAGGGGCAAATCCAGAGATGTCCGAAAGAGGGAGGGCCGGGGCCGAAAAAAGGGGAGGAAGGGGGGGGGGGGCGAAAGTGTGTCCGATCGAGATAACACCATCTTAGAGGAAATTTGTCGTTTCTAGACGCCCGAAAATAGCCTGATGCGTTTGGGCGATCAATTTTTTCTTCTTTTTTTCCTTTTTAAAATTTTTTTTTTCTACCACCCTTAAATCCACCTTTGCTATTTAAAAATCACAATATTAAGATTGATCTAAATTTGATTTAAATGTATTAAATATTAATGTACATTGTAGTCGATCTATAGCAAAAATGTTAAGGGCCTGTTATTGGAAAATCCGTGGCTATCTTTAACTAGAATGAATTTACTTAGTTTGGTAACACAAACTGGCGTTAAAACAAACCTATGAAAACTTTAATAAATACTTTTTATAACTTTCTAAATTCGCCTCTGAATGTCATTGTCGCAGTACTTAAAGCAATAATTCAATGTTGCTATCAGAATTATCTCTAACTCCAGTAACTTCGAAGAAGTCTCTCTGCAAACCTGAAATTGGAGGCGCCATCGGACCCGAATGATCACATCGAGCATTTGTATATGGCGCTCTACATAAAGAACACTGCGGCACCAAGGGCTATACAATTCATGTGGGCAATAATAAATTAAATAAAGTACAGTATTTAATTTATATTCAAAAGAAATTCAAAAGAGATAGAACCTCTACTAATAAGATGGAACATATACAAAGACACAATATATGGTACAAACTTGCAATGAATTGTCTTCATAAAGCTTAAACGAGGAAAACTTCATAAACAATATATTTCATCTGAACAATTTATATTATTAAATGTCAACTTTTAAATAAACTCTCGTACGTCAAATCGGCTGAACCGGGGAACATAGATTAAGTGTTTAGAGCAAGTACAAACAAAGGTAAAAGATTAGGATCAAATATAGAATTTAAGCTAACAAAAACAAAATATCCAAAACAAGTCTACGTTATATTAGGCCTATATTGAAAAAAAAAATGTAAACTTTTCAAAAATTCGGCCAAATTAGGCCAAAAATAGTTTGGCCGTGACTTTTGAAATGCTACGGCCAGACAAATTTTTATACGGCCAGATTTGAGGAATCTGGCCGTCAAAGAGGCCAAATGGCAACCCTGAACTATAAGAGGGCAGCAAATGATTGAAACCAGGCTTGACGCTTACATCTGTGTTCAGTTGTCAGTGACGGATTTAAAATTGCACAGCCGCCCCCACCCCAAATCTTCAAAGGTAAAACCCAATAACTATAGAGATAAAAAGAAAATTGTATAAAAAAAATTAAGTCTGTGCAATTTCTAGCAATCTAAAAAGGTACCATAATCATAAAATTTCTTTGCCTCAGCTCAATCATGATAGGGTTGAGGTGAATGGATACTCTATTTGTCAAAATCCATCCCTGGGCCCACTCTATTACGAATTCATGGATGCACTCTATATCATGTTTCCTCTGTTCTTCAGTAAAATCGCTAAGAATTATTAGGCCATAATGACCATAGTTTGTAACACCAAACACTCATTACTGAATTGTAATAACATTCAACCATTAAAACAAAGCTAACTCTTGCCTCTCTAGGGCCTAGTTCAGACTAGGTGGATAACCCGGCTCTACTCACCGGGTTTATCCACCTGTAAAGTCTAAACGAAGCCCAAGTCTCGGCCCCTGCCTAGGCGGGCTATCTATTCTACTCAACAGGTGTTCACTCAGGCTTTACTTGAACCGTGTCTGTCTGAGAAATTTTGGTAATTTATGTATACAGGCCACTATTCAATTGTTGCTGACCTCAGGCCTCTCAAACAGAGTTATTATTACGTGTTACGTATTAGATCCCCTATGCTATGTTATGTTATGCTATGCTAAGGCGAACGCTGTACAAAGAGTAAAGCCTAATTTGCATATCAGCTGGCAAACCTAATTGGCATAGCTTAGTCTAGGAAATCAGTGTTTAGACTGCTAGTTGAACACATTCGCTGTTGAGAGACCCCAGCAATGTGAATTATTATTTGTGTTATTATTAGACAGGCTTGGTTTGTGTATGTTTATAAATAACTATATACTGTATTAGCAGGCTTATGTGGCTAATCAGCTCCATTTAGACTTTCTTAATTTCGTTCTGTGAGATGTGAGATGCTGTAAGCCGCCGTGTGTTAAGGCCCTATAAAAAATATTATTAGTTTATCACCCTATCTGGGCAGGAAAAGTGATGAGGGAGGGAGGGAGGTTTTTATTTTTATTTTTTATTTTGCTAAAGCCAAATATTACCCTTGGATTGTTTGCTGGTGCATTGATATTCAAAGTAAAACATGATTTAGATAATGCAAACAATATCTACTAATTATTTAATAAAATAAATGAAAAAAAAATAAATAAAAGAAATTTTAAAAAAATTAAAAATTTTTCAAATTTTTTTTTCCAGTACCATAAAAGACATGCGCGCGAGGGTGATAAACTAATATTTTTTTTTATTGGGCCTAAACCACTGTCTGTAACCAATGTAAACCCTATGAGCGGCAGTACATTGTGTATTATACCACGGGCAGCCACAATTGATATTCTTATACCAATGGATGAAGAGAATAAATCAGCGTGTGATTTCAAATGCGGGGTTGTATTTTTGATCTTTTAAAATAACATTTGAGAGTGCATTACAATTATGTACAGAATGTATGATACATCCATGGTATAATAATTTTCACCTCGTAGGCTACAAAAGTCCACGTAATAATTATTCAGTTATCTAAATCACTCATGAATGTTAATCGCAATCCAGAATATGGCATAAAGTCTATACCACCTTGGTATGTCTGTTTTGTATAGTGTTTTGTATAGTGGTAGATTGTTTTATTCATTAGAAAGATGCCAGATGTATCTGAAAGCCCTAGTCAAAATACGGACTTAAGCGGCCCATGTGGCGCGGAACCAAACAGTTACGCCAGAAACAGGACACATGTACACTCAGTTATCACTTCGGCCTAATATTGTCGACCGTTCAGAGATTTTAATCAATCTGCTTTTGGACTTCCTTTTTACCAAAAGACAGGAACATGAACAAGTAATCAACAAAAGGCTGTTTGTTACATTTCAAACAGCACTGTAAAACAAAATACTTTTAAGGGTGAATAAAGGTGAATGGGTGTGTAAGCAGTCCATCGCCATCTTTATTATGCTTTTGGTAACTTACATTGGAATGTCAGAGATGATTCCGTATCTGTTCGGGAAACACTTTTGATATTTTCCACTGATTGTCGCCTACTTCCATTGTTGCTCCTAAAGTTGAAGATTGAACTACTGTAATGGCCGGTAACATGACCCAACATTTGTAACACATCATCCAGCTTACTTCTGTTTTCAATACAGAGTTCTAAAAAAAAAAAATTACCGATGTTTATATTTAAAATATTAAATACATTTTATTTTTGTATGCCATGTATGTACAGAAACAAGTTTCGCTACCAATTTGTTTAAATTGTCGATGGGAATAAATGTTTTCTAATATCAAAAATAAATAATATCCCACAGTGAGCATTACCGTGACTACTTCTCGTTAAACTCCACAATTCAGTTGTCTATATAATAACACCAAGTACTATTACAATTGGCAAATACAGTTATATTAGATGTATAATTGCGTTAGGAACATATGGGTTAGTTTATAATATATATTTATATTCAATTTATACTTTTCGATGATTGAATTGGATTTCTTCAGCGTGAAACACACCGAGGTTAATCCACGAAAGTCCTAAGACTTATTTTCAGTGGTGTCCCTCTGGTGGTGAGCTGGGCAGTACACCGGGAGACAATCCCCTACTCTTTCCCGAAGAGTGTACTGCCTTCTTTAACGTCCCCGTTTTAAGGAAATTGTTGTATTTAAATCAGCTTCAATACAAAATTTTACATAGACCTACAGTACTATACCTAAAGAACTCTGAGTATCATAGCTCATTTGGTTTTCACGGAAATGCACAACATTAAACTCTTCAAGGTTTGCTGCTGCTGGGTCTGTCAATCGAACACTTGCATTTTTTTGGTTTTGCAAACATTGTATGTTTTTTGAGGAGTTCTCCATAATACGGTTTGCAGGCTTCTATCAAAGTAGAAACAATTATTCATATTAGTTTGTGTGGTAATCAAATCTAAGATGAAGATTCACAATCGTGTTGGTTAGATTGATCGAATGATAATGCTTACTGGTAGATGTTTTCCCTTTTCTCTTTATACTCCTGACATCAAAAGGCCTAACATTATACAGAGAAACAACCAGTTATCTAACAATAAAGAAACATTGGTGAAGTATCCTTTAATGGGAGGGTATGGGTTCGTGATTTTTAACAAAACAAGAAAAAAAAGTTATATGCATCAGGAAAAAGGAAAATGTCTTAAATTTATATTGGAGGCTGGGCACTTTATGACAAATTTGCGGGAAAAAACTTATGCCAAGAGTGGGGGAAGGGGTGGATTGGATTGGATTTATTTAGTGAAAACACCAAGGATAGCCCACGAAAGTCTAGAAGAAGACTTATTTACAGTGGGGTCCTCCTGGTTGCGATTGGGCATGTACACCGTGAGACAAGAGTGTACTGCGTTCTTAAAAGTCAGGCACCGAAGGAAATAATTTTATGTGTTGTAGAAATAATTTTTGTAAGACAGAAAAAAGTATTTTGATCAAAAACTGAGAAACGGTGAATGAGATACAGATTTTTGAATATTTAAAAACTGGCGGGGAAATGGTGTAAAAATGGGCGGTTACGCCTCTATTTTCCCCCAGTTTTTAAATATTCGAAAATCTGTATCTCCTTCACCGTTCCCCAGTTTTTCGTCAACCAACTTTTTCCTGTCTTAGAAAAATCAGTTCTACAACATATCAACATTTTCTCCCTCCGGAGTCTGACTTTAACGTGCACATGTGCCACAAATGCACACGGGACCAACGGCTTAAACGACTCATCCGAAAGACGGTGTGGTGTGGTATTGTACTTGTGTTTCAGCCCTCCCGCTGAAACACAAGGAGAGGCAGCGATGGAAATTGAACTGGGGATCCATGGTTCAGCGTACTCACAGTGGCTACCACTAGATTAGCCGACCGTGCTAAGCTGCTGAAAACAGTCCGTAAATAACATTCAGTGAGCTGGTGGCGCAGTCCATTATTGCTTGAATATAATCAGGCCATTTGAAGTCTATGTTATAGGCCCTAGTGTTATAAAGTTGGCAAATTGCCAAATAAAGATTACAGTCACACCTTTTCTATTAAAAAAAGCAAAAAAACACTGGAACTAGATGAACTTATTTAACACTATATCACAAATTGTTTTAAATAATTATGTTATATTCGAATTTTATGGTATATTATTTTTACACTCCATTGCAGGTACAAAAGGTTGCTATATAAAGCATGCTATATAAAGCTCAATCCAAGCCTGTGCAGGTGGCTACAAACTTCGACTATCGCATTTTTTTAGCCTTAAAATTTCTACCAAAAATATATTCTGTGCAAATTATTTTTAACCTAAAGTATCAAAGTACTTCTTCCTGGTTGGGTACGTACTGTGTATCTATCGATTTATACGATGTACTTCAAACAGGTTAAAGATTATGTCAATTGTTTTTTCCAGTTTTATTGCTAATTTTTATCAGCTAGTCTGTCACCATCGTGGTTTCACATATTAATACAGTTATGTTATTTATAATAAGATGACAGTCTTCATTTTATCCTTTCTATCAGTTATTCCTGATACTCTACCTTCAGAAGTGAAATTGCTGAGTTTTTCTGGACATTTTTTTTAGCTTTAGATGGTAAAGATGGACCAGTTTCACATGCTGTGCTTCTTTCTCCGGGAATTTTTTGTAACATTGCATTTTTTCCTCCAAATGCCTGTTTCAAAAAAAAAATAAATAAACATTTTGACTCTAAACTTAAATTTAAACAGCAAACAATAACTAAAATAACAACAACAAAAACAGCTGCAACAACAATAGTAACAGTGACGTTGAAATACAGAAAGTGTCGCATTTTGATTAACATAATTTTATTGACACAAGCTTTCTTTTTTTACATAATTATGTTAAATCTAAATTAAAATGGTCCAGGATATAAAAATAAATAAAAAATAATGGTTCAATCTACCCTATCCCTATCTGCCACCAAGAATTTGTATTTTATTGACAGAAGCTTTCTTTTTTTTACATAATTATGTTAATTTGAAATTAAAATGGTCCAGGATATAAAAATAAATAAAAAAAAATAATGGTTCAATCTACCCCATCCCTCTCTGCCAGCAAGAATTTGTATTAATGAACCAAATATCTTAAATTAAGATAGCGCTCTCCTCGATTTTACGTGTAACACATTAAGAAGCGTCAATGTACATTAAAAAGAAGCATAAAAAGTCATTGTTTTTTAGAGAGGGCGTCCTATATGTTACCATGGTTGTTACAAAATTTGCACTCAGAAATCTGCGTTAATTAGTTTAATATAGTAGACAAGTACCTAGGCCAGACTGTAATATAAGGTCTGTGGAATATATCTTCCGCGTAAAAATGTGATGTAGTTTATATATGTATATTTATATATCTCATACAAAAAAAATCATTAAATTAAATTAAAACTAAAATTTTAATTTAAGGGACCCAAACAGAAATAAACTGCTTAGGTATTATTTGGTTATTCTGAGCTGTATGAAAGTGACTTTAGAGATCGTTTAAATGACCAATAACGTAATATATAATATTAAGACCGACATAAATGGCACACCACCGTGGTTTGTTTCTAAATCATCTCAACAAGTTGAAGATTTATATTAGTATAATAATAAAACGTGTGTCAATTTTGTAATAAGTGTTCTTACCTTAATTGCATCTAATGGTGTTGGTGGCGTTAGTCTTCCAGCTTCATAAAAAAGCCGCATATATTCCTTCTGTAACCATAAAAACCGCCGATCACTTGTTGACTTGTTCAGTTTTTGCAAAGCATTAATTATTGCTTTGAGTCCATTGTACCAATTAAGGGCACTATGTTTTGGCAGGACAAAGGTCAATGTTCTTGTGTCAGTAAGACTACAGCCATACTGAATCACAACACAATTCTCAGCATGGTTCAAATAATTCAATTTGTGTCGTTTCGTCACTGCTAAAAAATCAACATCCATGGATCCTAGAAAGACACCTTTAGCATTCAAAAGATTAAGGTATCCCTCCTCCAACGTATTAAAAATCACTTGGGATTGGTAGAACTTACTGCACATAGCTGTGTTAGTGAGAAAGTTTGCTTTTCCATCCTTCGGGTTGCTCCACATAAGTATCGAATTACTGGCCTCTAGATTTAACAGACACATGGCCGTCCGATTGTTGTCATTTTCCCAGTGTATTGCTGTAGACCCATGGTGCATGAACTGCAATTGGTGTAGGTTATTCTCCAACATCTTGGTGGGAACTATTTCAATTCCATGCAGGTTCTCCACATTCACAATTGGACAATAAATAAACTCCTCGTTTGTTTTGCTGGGAAAAGTCGTTAAGCAAGCTAATTTATTAATTTCGTTTTTACTAATGTAAAATTTTAATTATAATATTTTATATTTTTTAATCATTATTATTCTATCAATATAATCATTACAAATAATTGACGACCACATTACTAACAGACTTCATACTTGGACAATACCATTCAAATATTTCATAACTTGAATAATAATATTATTGACAAATGTTGTCGTTTTTATTTCAACGTTACTTTTCCATAATTAGCTATGCTCTAATTTTTCTTTTATTGCAAGACGGTTTAAACTTTTGTGACTCATATAGCTTATCACTTTACCAAAGGTCTCCAAACTTGGATATTACTTGTCTATACTTTTAGACCTTAAACATTTTTTTATAAACTAGTTGTCATAATTACAGCGTAATAATTATTTGAAAATAAGTTTGTTCTTTAAATCAGTTTATAACACCGCAAAAAAAATAATTCTATTACTAGGCTTATGTATATTTTACCTAGCTAGATCTATGACGTGAGCCTGCGCAACAAAGGGAAGACGATATTCACACACACTTTATTTGTTTACATGTTGTACAAAGAGCTAGGTAAATTTGAAACTGAAGATTTTTTTTCAGTCTAGCAAAAGAATAGCATATTGATAAATAGGTGCTCAAAATCCAAAGCAACAGAGACACTTTGAATTGATGTGTAATTGAGGAGGCCTAGGCCTATTATGTCACCATTGTTTTTTTTTTTTTGTTTTTGTTTTTTTTTTAATGCCGTTTAAGGCAACATTTAGAAACAGAAAGAGGGGAAAAGCTGAAACCAAACACCATAAGCCAATTCCCGATGAAGACAGTGACAAAAATGTTGGACTTTGGTATTTATCGACGTGATGCTTTACTTTTTTAACAAAGGACAAGAAAATCATTGATTTTGTTTAATGAAACTGATTTTCTATAAAAATAATATAATATATATATAATAATAATAATAATAATAAATAATAATAATAATAAGCGCAATTTAAAATTAAATCTAAAGAGACATAATAATAATAATAATAATAATAATAATAATAATAATAATAATAATAATAATAATAATAATAATAATAAATAATAATAATAATAAGCGCAATTTAAAATTAAATTTAAAGAGACATAATAAAAATAATAAAAGCAGCAGCAGCAGCGGCAGCAGCAGCAGCAGCAGCAGCAGCGGCGGCGGCGGCGGCGGCAGCAGCAGCAGCAGCTATTTAAAGTGACATAAAGAACAACTGGTCTAAGTTTAACCAAAAGAATGATGAGTTGTTTCAAAGACAAAATGTCTGAAATCAGGGTAGGCGACATACACCCATTATCGTTTTTTCTACAATCGACATTCTGTAAGTTAGGTTCACTCTGATACATAACCGAATATAACAAAAATTACCGATCATTCGGCTGAAAACTTTACCAAGCATTCTCAAGAATCAAATGAGAGAAACATATCTTTATTACACCTAGGAAGATTTCGGTTCTGTTAAGTATAGTGCTACAATTAATAAACTCGTTGTGGAATTTTGACAAACACATGAACATTGTAGCTCTAAAATGTACAATGTTGGATAGTGATTGTTAGAATCAATAACTTTAAATGTTCATATATATTGGCAATGCGATATTATTTGAGCATAATCTCACTGAAAATAGTGCGGGTTGTTATGCAAATCATTGCATTGTCAAAATTCACGTTAATGTTGGAATTATTGAATACTGTACAGCGCAATTTTAATAATCGTTATTATTATTATTAGTAAGTTACAAACAAGTGTATTTAAGTTGGTACTTTAGATGTGTATAAGAGACAGGCCTCCCCCCCCCCCCTCGTTGGGGAGAAAAACACAATTCGTCGGTGAGATAAAAAAAAAATTGTATGTATTTTCTACATATTAGTAGACTCTAAAATCGATTAAATAAGCCTTTGAAACTCCTAAATTGTCAAAATAACTTGGGCTTGCCGACGAAAAACGAATTACTTTTTGCAGTTACTTTTGTAGAGCATTCAAACTATCTTAGCCATAATGAAGAAACATAATATGGTGTTCACAAGAAATATACTTTGAGAAATATACTTTGAGGTTTTATTATTAATTCTGCGGTATGTATGTTGGGTATGTATGTATGTATGCATGAATGTGTACGTGTATGGGTGTGTGTGTGTGTGATTGGGTGTTGGGCTGTGTTTGTGTGTGTGCATGTATATATAATAATAATAATAATAATAATAATAATAATTAAAAAAAAAAAATAAAAATAATAATAATAATAATATTACCATTAGTAGTAATAGTAATGTTATTAATAATACTACTAGTGGTAATTATTATCATTAATATTATTAGTATTATTATTATTATTATTGTTATTAACATTACTATTATAATTATCATTATTATTATCATTATCATTATCATAATAATAATAATTATTATTATTATTATTATCATTATTATTATTATTATTATTATTATTATTATTATTATCAACGCTTAAAATTCAATGTAGATCCCATCTAATATACTTCATATTGAAGAGTTTAATGCCCATAGGGACAAAGGAGTGGAGATAACTACTTGTGTGGGAGTTAGCAACCGCATTCTACCAATTCTAGGAATGATAGAAATAATCAACTTTTCATGCAGTGGGTTAGTCTCATCAGCTAGTACAGAAGTGAATAACCTCTGCACACGTGCATGGTAAGTGTCAACAGCATATAGACTCGTACCAGTATTTTTTTTCTTAATTAACCGGTTTATCCCCCCAATTTCTTCCTCGAAGTATTACCTCCCCGAGATGTTAGACAGTAAACCCAGACATTGCAAATCACTGATGGAACATAATGCTAATTTCACTTCACTGCATAGGTGGTTAAATTGGATGAATTGGGAGTTACTAGGTATGTACATATCATGTGTTTCTATTGTTGGAGTGTCATTTTAATCCTAATCGGTTTAAACATCCTCAATTGGGTCGGAAATTTTCTGAGGAAACTGAATTAAATAACCTCGTTATGGACACATTTCTGAGTCCATTTTTAGGATCAAAGCAAGGGTCTACAGAGTTGTCTCAGAATCTACCATCAGCTGTCATCTTCGAAAATTCTCCCGCTCCCTACAAAGTTCCGCGTCACCGGCAGTGAACCAGGATTAGGTCTGCTCGGATTCCACAACCTCCCGTTGTCCTTTATGATGTTTCCTCGGGTGGAACTCAATATACAAAAGTACCAACTTAAATACACTTGTTTGTAACTTATTCCTTTGATGTGAGAATTATCTGTGTGAACTTGTGACAAGTTTCCTGTTTGGTACATTAAAATAACAAAAACCTAAAAGACAATTTTTTTTTCTTACTTGTCAGGTTTTTTTTTATGTGCACATTGTGTTCATCAAACGCAATCAATTTCAACTATCAGCGCGTACAAGTAATAATCATTTGGGTATTTAGTGTGGATCATATCACCACAGCAATTAATGACCACTACAATAACAATCTGATTAGATTTCTAATAAAAATTAAACAGTGTTGACTTTAAAGCAATTAATATAGAAAAAATGGAAAATATTACAGTACACTTTTAAAGTTATGTGAGTTACGTAACTTAAATTGTTAGTATATTTTGATTATTTCTTTAAAAGTATAGCTTGGAAAATATCGATGAAGGTATAATACCTCACGTCCTCCTTGTTTTCTTGCTGACATGCACTTACATCTTGAAGAACAAATCTAGCAAGCTGTAGCTTCTGAATATTGATATGTCTCTGTTCGCTGTTATCATCAATCACATCTTCACTTGCGAAATAGTTGTCATTCTGGTATAACATGGGTATAAAACATCTGACTAAATTCTAAATATTTAAATTGTTTTGATTATATATGATACTATTTGAGAGTTTTAGACAGTCTTGTCCGTTTACTTAGCGACTAAAATGTTCTTATCAATTGATAATTGTGATGATAATGGTAACGACGAAATGATAACGATGATGGTGAGTAACATTTTTTTTTACTCAATCTTAAACCAACAGAGATTTTAATATCAAAGTAAAATCAATCACTCCTAGGTTCCTTGCCCTAAAAACATAAATTAACATCAAAATCAACTACCCTAGTTGTAGCCAGACCAGGTTTTGTATGCACTTTGAGGTCCAGAGAATTAGACTTCAGAAATTGGATTAAGGTGGTCCAAGAATCATTTTTGGCTTGGTAACACATTTTCAAAATGTGGCGAAAGGTTAAAAGGTCAAAGGTCATAGCTATAGAGTCATATCTCCGCAACCACTGGTGGTAGAGAGTTAATTTTGGTGCCTTTTCGTTCAGAACATTTATGTTTCTATTTGGTCTAATTGAAAGGTTTTCTAGAAAATGACCGGAAATGCTGTTTTTTACCTCTGAAATGTTTAAAATGTCATAGTTATTGAGTCCTTATTATCTCCACCAGTCAACCAGTGGTTGCGGAGATATAACGACCCTATAGCTATGACCTTTGACCCTGACCTTTTGACCTTTTGCCACGTTTTGAAAATGTGTTACCAAACCGAAAATGAGTTTTGGACCACCCTAAACCAATTTCTGAATTAAAATTCTCTGGACCTCAAAGTGCATACAAAACCTGGTGTGGCTACTAGGGTAAACAGAAATGGATACAGAATAGAAAAATTTAAAAAGTTGACACAAAAGAGCAATTTGACCCTACGACCCCGAATCAGGTTTTTGAGCTGTACCAACACTATTTTTGGCTGATTTTGATAAAAACATATCACAAAATGCTCAGAGTTCCACTCTGCATCAAATTGTGTTGGTTTGGTATTCTCCCTAAAATATCGCCCTTTTGTAGCCAACCTTAATAAAAGTAATAATGATGATGATAATAAACCAGCAAAAAAATTATCAAAATATGGTGAAATGGATACAGAATAGAAAAATTTAAAAAGTTGACACAAAAGAGCAATTTGACCCTACGACCCCGAATCAGGTTTTTGAGCTGTACCAACACTATTTTTTGCTGATTTTGATAAAAACATATCACAAAATGCTCAGAGTTCCACTCTGCATCAAATTGTGTTGGTTTGGTATTCTCCCGAAAATATCGCCCTTTTGTAGCCAACCTTAATAAAAGTAATAATGATGATGATAATAAACCAGCAAAAAAATAATCAAAATATGGTGGAATAAAAAAAAAGTAAACGCATCTTAACCAAAAACACAAACAAGTGAACCATGTTGAATTTAAAACCCTGGTTTCACAGTGTAACAATATTCAGGCTAATCTAATCTGTTAGGCCTATATAGCGCGTTTCTTTGCAGATACGAGGTTTTCCCCTGGCCATTGGGTCCACATGCTTAAGTGTTGCTGCCATTTTGGCGCAGGAGCAGGCAACCCCGCCAGCTGCCCATCTATACTCCTGGGTGGTGAGAAGCAACGTAGATTAAGTGCCTTGCTCAAGGACACAATCGAAATGCACAGCGAGGGATTGAAACACCAACATAGAGGTTGGGAAACCAAAGTGTTCTCACTGCACCAAATCGCTTCACAAACTACTATAAACTACAGACTACTATATTATGAATGTGTTAATAGCATATATTACCTGCTCTATATCGGTAGGTATAAGTATTTGCGTGTCTTCAAAGATAGCTTTAAGGTCTTCTAAAAAGCTACCAAAAACAGGCACAGCCTTGCAACCTTTGATTTGTATTGCCCTCTTAATAGCTTCAAGATATAATTTTCCATCACCATAAAATGCCTCTGTCAGATCACAAATTATAGAGTCTTCTAGTTCAGCACCAGCAAGAATGTTCTTAACTTTATCTGACCTGCCAACACAATGTATTTATCCATTTAAAAATTGTATGTTTTTCGGTAAATGACTATTGTATATACAATAAAAATCAGTTTCTTGTGAAAACGTTTTTCACAAGAGCAATTGTTGGTACAGTATCAGCCAATGGCCACTCACCCCTGAAAGGCAAGCAGGGTTATTGGCACCTAGGGTAAGCATGAAAATGCACCCTTTTCCAGATTATAGGTTATATGTTCTGACCTTCTGGACACTTAACATATTTACTCTGTATGCTATAATTTTTCACAAAAAAAACCCTCTCCACACCCGTTCCCAATCTCAATTTGACATGCCGGCCTCATGCCTTGTTGTACCCCTTTAGTTACGCTTCATGTGCTGTTGTGTTCGTCAGGGCAAGGTATGGGGCTGTTTTAGTCTAAATTCTTACAGAATTACAGTGGGCAAATGTATTTCAAAATGTGAATTGCAGAACAATGATTAGAACAGATGAAGTACAGGATAATGAATGAAAATAAGTTACTTAGTTTGTCTTTGTGAAGACTTGTTTGGGGTAATTGTCTACCTAGAGAAAGCATTTGACAGAATGGGGTTGGAACAAACAAGATCTTGATAATTGACTGAGACAGGACCAGAGATTGACAGGAAAGTTTACCATATCAAAATTTAAAATGGGTTATTATTCATTTTTGAGCATATTTAAATTGTCTTAAAACGTTTTTAAAAGAAAATGAAATGTTATTAGAAACAGTAGTAAGCTAGGTAATCCTACTTGATTCCTTGTAGTATTTCAATAACACTATTGAAATTGCCAACTTTCCAGCAGCTAAACGCCACTTCAGAGAGGCTTCTCAGTACAGCTTTGGTACCATTAGTTGATGTGGAATCTATAATGCATTCTGTAACCCAATCACAAACCTGCAGATCCAAAAAGTTTTCAAAATCTAAAACATCCTTATGTGATTTATCATCATAGTTTACTTTGCTGTCAGTCAGATATA